TCCTACCGAAGCCCTCTGCTTTGTTTAGCATCAATTTTAACTTGAATCTCTGACCAGAAAGTTGCAATATAAGACAAATTATTATGGAATAATATTAAGGAATATGTAGACCACTGGCCCAGCACACTCTGTTTCAGGGGTGGGTTGTAAACTCATGGTTATAGTTGACAGACTATTTGCTATTGTTCCCTTGGCCCTTTCCCATCATTCTGTTCAGACCAAGGTTGCTCCCCAAATTTTTGCTTGAGATGAGCCTCTTCAGTGGATACCCTCACTTTCCTATCTTTTACCCGTATTCTTATGCATTTCAGACTGAAGCAATGCTTTTCACATTGGTGCTGAGGAAATTCCTTCCCATCTATGTCCAAGGCACAAGTCCCTTCAAATTCTCTCCCAGTGTGACAAAAGAAAAGAGAACAAAAAATAAAGCTTTCTTCTCCCAATAGCTCTCAAAAGGAATTCAGGGGAGACCTTATTGCTCTCTACAACTACCTGAAAGGAGGTTATAGCAAGGTGGGGATTGGTCTCTTCTCCCAAGTGACAGACTAAGAGGTAATGGCCTCAAGTTCAGGTTGCTTCAGGCTGGATATTAGGAAAAAATTATTCTCCAAAAGAGTGGTCAGACATTGGAACAGGCTGCCCAGGGAAGGGGTGGAGTCTCCATCCCTGGAGGAGTTAAAGAAACATGTAGATGCAGCGCTCAGGGATATGGTTTAGTGGGCATGGTGGGGATGAGTTGGGATGGATGATTTTAGCTATCTTTTCCATCCTTAATAATTATGTGATTCTGTGAATTTCAGATGGCTCACAACTTATTGTCTCAATTTTTAAGTTACCCCTCCTCAACCCCACAGAGGTCCTCTAGGATCTCACAGGGTTGCTACAGAACTGAATTTCTGCCTGTGTCTGCATTCAGTGCCTAAGTCATCATCATCCTTTCCTCATCATTTATCTAATTTGGAGGCACGTGGGTTAGCTCTGGAGTTGCTTACATTGTGATTAAAGTTTGCAGAGTTAATGTTAAGACATATAAATTCAAAAGCCTTGAGGAAGAGGAACTTTTCCTTTGCAGTGGTGTCTTGAAGCCCACCCTTCTCCGCAGAGGAGCCGAATGCAGTGCTCCTCTCTGCAGCCATTCTAAATCATTTAGTGGTCTGGGCTGTGGGAACAAAGTGAATTGCATATTAAAGAGCCCTTGAAGCAGTGAGTCATGATGAGACATGGAGAAAGCAATCAGTTGAGAATACAGAAAGTGTTAGCAAGCACAAGACACCTCTCAGAAAAGGACATGGGAAGCCGACACTTTGAACACAGATACTTGGAAATACCCAGAGGATGTTTTATGATGCTGCAGGATGTTGTAAACACAGTTGCTGCCAGATAGTTCATTTTGCAAGCCCTAATAACCACCAGGAGTGGTGCACACCAGTGTTAGAAGAGCAAAGAAGTATGATCTGTCCAGAGGTAGCCAAGCTGGTGCTCTTGAAGTATAAGGGCAGTTCAAGCATTGCTTAGACAAGCCATCCATGATCAGTAGTGTGTCATGGGACTACCAGAGAAGCCAAAACCAGAGGGATTTGCCTGGTATTAAAAAGCTCAAAGAGTAAAAATGACAACTGAGCAAAATCCTTCAAGCAGAATAGGTGTTTCTTCAAGGTCAGCAAGCACAGCTGCTATGCAAAGGATGGACACTGCTCAGCACAGATCCATCACACTTGAGTGCTCCCCCATTGCAGGGAACGGTGTGGTTGTATGTCTGGAGTGCATTTAGGGATGTCAACAGCTTGGTTAGGCATGTCAATGGCTACCAATCTTCATCCTGTATTCATCCCAAAGCCAAGCTCTTCTCCAGACCATAATCCACCTACCTAAAGTACCTATTCAGCCTAAGACCAGAAATGTTCAGCAGCTGTTGAATAAACCAAGTAGTTCAATATCGTCAGTAGTGTTTTCTGTCCCAGAGCTGTCTTCACTTTAGTTAACAACAGTGATTAATCACTATCACAATTAGTGCATCCCAAGAGAAGTCCCTGTCTTTTAATTACTCTCATGCTTCCAGAAGGATAAACTGAGTCTTTAGCCTGAAAAATAGCTTATCCAGAAAGCCACCTGGGAAGTCACTGGGAAATGTGGGAATGGGTGCTGATCCTCTGCAGCCTCCTCTAGACTGCTTTACCACCAAAAAAAAGACTCAATTAAAGTGCTGACCTCCTATGATTTTTACCATATCCACAGGTGCTTTTTCACTCATTGCCTGGTGGGTGCACAAAAACATGGGAAATAAGAGAAATCAGAAAAATAAACCCTCTGACATCGTGCTTGCATTGAAGTCAAACAGCTAAAGACACATACACAAGGTCAAAACATGTCATGCAATGCACGTGAACCAACAAGTGGATGCCAACAGTTGCCGTCACAGCCATGTGTGCCACCTGCCTTCTCCTCAGAGGGACAGAGGTGACTGGGATGCTGAAGGGAGCAGCAGAACACAAGTCTATGCTTTTAATTGTGTCTTAGCCCTGTGAGGAAGCACAGGCTGAAAAAGGAGAAAATGTGAAAACTCAGTCCCTCTAAAAGGATCACACTGGGAGCTGTTTTGTCCTCAGATGACCTATGTCACATCTACTGAGGAGAAGCCGTGAGAGAGAGGTCTGGGAGGATGACCCTAAATGAAGATTGGATTTCTACAGGGGTAGTTATCAGTGACCTTGAACTGATTCTCTTTCAGCTCTCCTTCTCTCTCACACGACCCTCCCACTGACTTGGAGCCCTCCTCACTTCTCATTTGCAACCACCTCTTGTTGCCAAAGTTGCACAAAAGCCATCATCTTCAGATCACAGAATCACAGAATGGTGGGGGTTGGAAGGGACCTCTGGAGATCACCTAGTCCAATCCTCCCACTAAAGCAGGTTCACCTAGAGCAGGTTGCACAGAATCATGTCCAGGCGGGTTTTGAACATCTCCAGAGAAGAAGACTCCACAACCTCTATGGGAAGCCTCTTCTAGTGCTCTGGCACCCTCAAAGTAAAGTTTTTCCCTCATCTTCAGATGGAACTTTCTGTGTTCCAGTTTGCTCTTGTTGCCTCTTGTCCTGTCACTGGGCATCACAGAAGAACTGATGCTTTCATAGAGCAAAGTGAACCAATTTCATTCTCTCAATTTACAAGTAGGGAAACTTGAGTCATGAAGTTCTTTACCCAAGGTCATTGAGTAAATGATCAGGATGGATCAAAACCCACAGCAGCAGTGCCATGCCATAACCAATAAGTAGCATCACCTTCATTTAACATGGACCATTATCAGTTCACAAATGCTACTGACAGAAAAGACCTACTGAGTCCTTTTGCAGTTCCCTGTAAGCTTTTTCCATGCCATGTGCTGTAGACAAGAGTGCTTTATACAAACCCTACATTAAAATAATTCAAGCAGGAGGACATATCTCATTTCCTTTGGGAGAAACAATTCTGTAGCTGAATAGATTGCAGCATTAGGAAATATTTCCTGATGTCCAGCCCCTGCCATAGCTTCTAGAATGTGTTGATATATTATTAATAGAAAGAAAAATAAATATAGGTATTAATGCCAGCAGACACTGTCTACTACTAATAGCTGCTAAAGTAATATATTCCCCTTGTTTTTAGCTTTTATTAGTCTTTTTGCAAAGGGTTACAAGACCCTTATGCATCCATTAGCCAGTCAGCCATGTGAAATTAATGTGGAGCAATTTTCATAAGCATTACTCAGAACTAATAATAATTAAGCATTATTTTCTGCTCAGATAACACAGAAAATAAAGTCTGATTTTTATGCCAAGATGGGTTTGCATTAGCTTAAGGTAGATGAATTAATTCTCATTTACAAGGCTTCTCCACCAACTAGCCACAAAATATCAAGGTAATTAAAAACAATTTGTGAGGTTCTGTCCCATTGCACATTCACTGAGTTTTATCATTGCTGCAAATTACAGGTGCTTTTATGTTGTTGCAAAGGTGGGACATGAAGGAGACCTTGCTGCTTGCCTCCTTCCCCATCACTTCCAAATAAAAGCAACTTCTTGTGAAGACCAGAACATATTTTGCAATACACTTTGTCACTAGAGAAGCAAGGAAGGACCATACCTTGCATGAAGGATCAGCTCAGCCCCAGCTCAGGCTGGGATGTGGACCTCTCAGCACATGCATGTAAAAGGTCTCTAACCGGGGTGGGGGGGGGGGAAATGTTGTTAGCTTTTGATTTACCATTTACTTGCCAGGGATTAATTTTGGCTAATCACAAAGCTGAGGGACTTCTGTAGAGAGCACTTTATGGATGGCTCAGGAAGAGTTTTCTTCAGCCAGACAGATTTTTCTCTATTGCCTTCAACAATCAAGGTAAATAAAATCAAGGTAAATAAAACTAATTAGTTATATGATGCTACACTTTTCAACATTGCCCAAAAGATTTCTTGTCCTTTTTCTAGCTTAGGGAGACACTGAATTTGACAGGTAGTCATATCCCAGCAGCTTGACGTATCACCTGAACAGCTACTGTGGTCTCTGAAGATGATCCCAGCTTGGGCCTGCTGCAAGATAGAAGATACATTAGTTCAGCTAACAATTAGCTGTGAGATACATTAACCGAGAGCTATCCTACCAACAGCTAAGATAATAGGCAACTGAATAGGCTAAGACCTTTCCTAGGGTTGCAGCTTTCGAAGGGGAGCAGTTCCTTCAGATGCGACACCTTGACTTAACATATGAGCTTAGCAAATAACTGGGCCTGATGTGACCCACCAATGTGGAAAAATCTGTGTTTTTCAGAGGATTATGGCTTCTCTTGTCTATGTTCTGGCTCTCTCATTTCATCCCTCTGGCCTCTTCATCGCTCCCCTCTCACTGTGGTGTTTCATTTTAGTGACTGTGCCTGGAGCAGGTAGACCTGAAACACAACTATATGAGTCAGCAACAAAAAAAGACTGAGATGGTAGTTCAGACTTTTATTATGTTTTGAAAAATCTTCTCTAAAGTAATGTAAATGCAATTAAAGAGATAAATAAAAGGAGAGAATACTCAAGAAACACCAGCTGTGTCTCAGCCATGGAAGAAGCCATCCTGGCATGTGCATGGTTATCCATGCCTTCAGTGAAAAAAGGTTTCCCCTTTATGACTGTCTGAGCCTCGATCCAGTCAAGGTAGCTGTAAACAGACATTAAGATCTCATGGTTTGGCTTTTCTGTGCAATCTTGTCCCCAGCTGACGATGCCAACCTGAAACCACTTCATGGTGTCCCAGTAGCTGCAAACCAGAGGTCCCCCGCTGTCCACCTATAGCATAAGGAGGATGTTATAACATGTTAGAATTTATTATAATCAAACCTCAGGTCTTTCACAGCAGCTGCATTAGGTAAATCAAACTCTATCCCAAGTTCGTGAGGATTTGAGGGCACAAGGAAATTTTGGACTCAAAATTTCACAGCTCAGCCCTGAGATCCCTGCAGAATAAACAGATACAGAAGGTAAGAGGAGGAGATCAGTCACAAGCTCTGGCTCAGAGCAATACTCTGACCTTCTCAGCTTTTTCCACACACTCTGTGGTCCCAGAAGGATACCTGAATCATGTCACCAAGAGATAACAGCCAGGAGTGAAAAAGGACATCTGCTCATTCAGTCCTTGACTTCTCTGCAAAACTAGTTCATTTAGGTGCTGGGTACCTGGCACTGTTAATTTTGAAGGCTGGCATCCAGAAATTGGACAAGAGATGAACACTAATCCTGACAAATCCTTCTCGCAACCACACTAATTTCACTGAACACTTACTTGCTACTGCAAGGACAACCTTCAATCACCTGGTGCATTCAAGCCTTCAAATGCACATTGCTGCCACCCTGCAAAGAGGAACGTCCTGCTGTTGCTGTAGCTTGAACATCGAGAGTACGTCCAGTTGCCCATATGACCTCTGTGGGCAATGTCTGAACACAACCTGAGGGAGAAAAGAAACCAGGACAAAATGCACCTAGCCAGGTACAGCACTTTTCTGGCAGTCATGCACATCTTCAGTGCTGTGCAGCCTCTGCTCTAAAGGAGACAGTTTCCTTCCACCGTGGATTTTGTGTCTTTTTTCTATCCTATTTCCAGTACTTCACGTGGCAAATAAGAAATTCAATACAAACTCATTTCCCAAGACAATCAGCTTTCCTGGGAAATGTCGTCCTTCCCGCTTTGTACACTACCTTGAGAAATGTCTTTGTCATTAATGTATGATCCCCTTTCCACCAGCAGCTACCCTGAGCTAACACATTAATTAATTAATGAGTAAGGAAGTGGTTGTAGTCCCTTGTGCAAATCACCAGCACCCACTAAATTTTATGTCAGAATTCCTACTCACTTCATTACATGGAGGGTCCACACTCATAGTGTTTAGAATTTTTATTCTCTTTCTATTTTTCTTTTTGGTTCAATACACATATAAGAGGGGAAAATGAAGATAAATAGAAAATAAGTGTTGCTTCAGCATTCAGAGAACCATTTAGGCTGGAAAAGACCTTTAAGATCACCAAGTACAACTGTAATTTCAATAGTTTGCACTGCAATGGTGTTACTATAGTTGTGTCTGCATCTCAGTCAGTGCTGCTGGATCCTCTTCAGACTCAGAATCTAAAGACATTTCCTGACCCTGTTTCAGCCAAGAATTTGCGTGAATCACACAAGTGACCTTGCAGTGACCTTGGATCCATGCGTTATCAGTGTCCTTGGCGATGGCATCCTGTTTGAATGAATGAACATCTCCTAGGCTGTAGGCACAATTAAATTACTGGGAATTTTACTGCTAATTCCCTCAGGGCAGGAACAGGCCAAATGTATTATCTTGGTAGCAAAATGAAGGCGCTTCGAGCCTCCTACACCCAGATAATAAATGAAGTCAAGAGAGTGGGAGCCATTCGCAAGGCAGTGACGCAGCAACGGCTGATGATCGGTGATATGTCGGGATGCGTCGTGCCGGCTTTTTCCCAGTACAGGAGATTTTTAGCACTGGCAAACTATCGGGGCAGATCGGTTTCAGAGTATCCAATTTGGAGGCTGTTCACACTTGTAAAGGATCTTTCTCCCAGGGCACTTAAATACCAGTTAATTCCTGCTACCTTGTGACTATCCTTGGGGGGAAAAGTCTTATCGTATTTCATAGCGGAGAAAAACCACAGCGGAAAAGGGATGCGATTTGTACGAGGCAACGGCAGAGCCAGGAATCCCTGTTTAAACTATACATCACACGGTTTTCTTTTTGAAACAGATCTGCTTTTCCTTGTTTGCCTCTTTCATCATGTTCATTTTGTTCTCTACCTGGTCAGTGAGGAAAAGGAGAGCTGTCTGCAGGGTTTGGGGGACTATCAGTGATGGAAAGTGATTTAAAACCTGGGCAGGGAAGGAGTTAGGCAGGGCTGTGAAAAACCAGCTGCAAATCCATTTCTCTAATCCACAAGCCCTGAGACACAAATCCTGCTTCAGGTCCCCTTCCACATGGGCTGAGCTGGTCTACTTCATGAATTCAACTTCTAACATACCATTTCTCTTAACTTCAGCTATTTAACTCGATGATTTGATCACGAAGTGGGCTAAATCATCCTCTCCATGTGATAATCTCGCTCACATAATTATAGCAGTAGCCCAGATGAATCAGTAGCCTGGTTTCTACAGGGCTAAAGATAGAGAAAATTAACTCAGTTTTTGGACACTTCTGAATATCCCTGTATCCACCCTAAGCTCTCAAAAAACGTTGGCCTAAGGTTTTCCATCCTTGTGTAGGAGAGGGTGTGGGTGGAGCAAGTTTTCAGCACTGGTACAATTATCTCAGCTCTGTGATGTTTCCAGTAGTGGTAATTTAATTAATGCTCAGGTTAATGACTCCAAAGATCGAAAAACTTATTAAATATCACTTTCAGCTTTCAGCCTCTTGTATCTTGGTGGTGAAATACTTCTGGTCAGCAACACACACCAGATACCTGCTCCTGCTCTTCAGTCTGAGTGCCAAGTTTCTGGACAGTAAAAAAAATCAAACCCCTAAAAATAGCATCTTTGCTTCTGTTGCATGTTTCTTGTCAACTAGAAGATGAGTGAAAAAGCAACCACATCAAAGCAGATCCGGTGCTGAATTCATGCCTTCCACAACTGCATGTTAATTCTCCCACTGGGAGAGGTGAGAGCAATGATATATTTGCTGATAAACAGTTCTGGCTTGTATAAAAACTGTCACTGACTAACAAGGTGCTTTGTTTACTGAAGCTAATGAAAAGGTTAATCTTTTTCTCTATGGCCATAGTCTTTTTGTGGACATCAGGAGCCTTTCTGCTGACTTTAGTGGGCTTTGGATTGAGAGCATAATCATCTTCCTTTCGTATTTGTATTCATGTCTGCAACACGTTAATTGATCAGAACAAACACATCCAGCCACATAAATCTTCCAAGGTGGGAGAAGCTCTGGGGGAAGGAGAACAACCCATCTGATACTCATTAGGTGGATACACAACCCTTGCAAGTCATTGCTGGTTTCAATTTCATGTTGGTAAGCTCGGTGTAAATTGGAGAGAGTCAGCATGTGAATAACAACACTTGCCATTAGAGCTGCCCTGGCTGCAGGAAGGCTTTTGCCTGTTTATTTGTTCAGACAATTTCTTCAATTATTTCACCGTGATCAAGCTATCTTTAGAGAAAGGTGGAAGGAAGGAGGCTGCAGCCATTTTTAGCATAGAGGTATTGAAAATTAACCAGGTAACACAGGCCACCTGGATGCTTTTCATGGGATTTAGAATCATAGAATCAAAGGGCTCCCTTTTCAATCTCAGGTGAGAGCCTTCAGCTAGTCTGTCCTTCCATCCCCTTGTTGGAAAATGGGAGAACAAGACCACTCTGCTCCATCCACACAGATGTCAGAAGGGTCCATTAGTAACTATGGTGGCATGGACTTAAAGGCAGATATAATGCATCTGGTCAAAGACCCATGTGGCTCAGAATCCTCCTCTGACAGACATCCGTAGCAAGTGCTCAGGGAAGGAGAATGAGAAACAGGGCAAGTATTTACAGAGTTGTATTTACATCACAGTGGTTAATAGCCTTAGAGAGATCTTCATCCAGGAAGTTATCTAATTGCTTTTTGAATCCATTTATCCCTTAGGATAAATACCCACAACATCCTGGTCAGTGACTTCCATAGTTTAATTATCTGTGGGATGAAAAAACACTTCCTTCTCTTTGTTTTAAGTCTGCTGCCTGATACGGCCATCTGACACCCCCTCCTTCTGTGTTTTGAACAGTAGTGACAAGAAGAGAGCTCTGGACTGTCCTTTCCTTGTTGCTCTTGGCTTTAGAAATCTGTGTCATATTCACAGAATCACAGACTGGTGGGGGTTGGAAGGGACCTCAGGAGATCATCCAGTCCAACCCCCCTGACAAAGCAGGTTCAAACCCCCCTGCCAAAGCAGGGTACCTACACCAGGTTGCACAGGGAAGTGTCCAGGTGGGTTTGGAACATCTCCAGAGATGGAGACTCCACCCCCTCTCTGGGCAGCCTGTCCCAGGGCTCTGGCACCCTCACAGGAAAGAAGTTTTTCCTTAAGTTTGTCTGGAACTTCCACTGTTCCAGTTTGTGCCCATTGCCCCTTGTCCTGTCACTGGGCACCACCAAAAAGAGCCCGGCCCCATCCATTTGGCCCCCATATTTCAGATATTTATAGACATTGATCAGATCCCCTCTCAGGCTGCTCTTCTCCAGGCTGAACAGTCCCAGCTCTCTCAGCCTCTCCTCGTAAGGCAGATGCTCCAGGCCCATCATCATCTTTGTGGTCTCCGCTGGACTCTCTCCAAAAGATCCCTGTCCCTCTTGAACTGAGGAGACCAGAACTGGACACAATACTCCAGATGTTGCCTCACCAGGGCAGACTACAGGGGGAGAAGAACCTCCCTCGACCTGCTGGCCACGCTCTTTTTAATGCCCCCAGGATAGTGTTGGCCTTCCTGGCCACAAGGACACACTGCTTGTGTGATTCCCATCAGACATCTCTTTTACAAGCCTCAGAGTCCTGCTCTGTTATTCCCCTTTCTGTCAGAAGCCGTTCCATGTCCCTGTTATCCTTTCTAAAACTACTACTTCTTTCTCCGATGGGGTGGATGGGACTTGCACACAGCACACAAGACGTAGGCTCCCAAGATTACTGCCCTGACATAACACACATTTGCTTTGATACCTATTCCTTCCCTAATTAATCATAATGCTCTTGTTGCCTTTTTAACCTCCACAGAGCCTCGTGCTGATGTTTTTGGAGGACTATCCACA